AATTGCCTGGCGAAATTCAATTATTGATCCATCGGCCGTCGTACGCAGCGAAATGCGAGCGATTCGCAGGCAAAAAGAGCCTGGCTTTCAGCTTTGCGGACCACAAAACATCTGCAGACAAGTCGAGACGTGTTTTTTGGGCCCAGTGCAGCTTTTTCTGGCCATTTTTGGCTCTAGGATTTTTTGGTCCCCCTGCGCTTTTGTTTTCCCGCTGCCCCTGCCCTTGTGTGCATATAGAAAGCAAAAAAAAAAAGGAAAAAGGAACGTCGGCAATGAGAAGCTTGCTAAGAAAATATTTTGAAATGGAAAGTTTTGGCCTCTCGTTCGAGTGTGTGAGTGTGTGCGAGTGAGCGAGTGTGTGTGCATGTGTGTGTGTTGCTGGAGATATGAGAAAATGAAAACATATTTGCCTGTGCGAGAGGTTTGTTTGTTTAGTTTTTTTTTTCGAAGCCCACCCTTCGTTATTCCCCTTACACTTTTCCACTTTTTGTGCTTTGATAAGAATCTGGAAACTTTCTCGGTGCTACGTGTCGTATGCGCAATATCCTGGCAAAAGTTCCAGGATCTATGGATTTCTGGTTTCGAAGCCAAAGTCTTAGCAAAGTCAACATGGAATCAACTGACTGCGAATTGCAAATGAGCACTTCCCCCACGAATAAAATTGAATGCCAATTGAAAGCTGAATGAATGAAGGTTTTGAGACAATCGGTGACAAGTTAAAATGACACGGGGAGCTTGGATTTTCCTAGGAGAAAAATCCGACTCATAAATCTAAAATTACTGCATTGAATGGAAAGCCCAATTCTAAATGAATTCCATTCACGGGACAAACAAGAAATCGAATGCCAATTTGTGGGTTTCCAAAGTGAATTCGATTGCGATGGGAAATATGATTCTACTTATGGTTTTTTTTTTCACCAGCCGAAAGAATTTGCATATAAATGCCGGCTTGATGTGGGCGGGTATGCGTATAAATAAAATCACTGGATAGTTGTAACATTTTGATAGCACAGATCCTAGCTGATTACTATTTTTTTTTCGACTTTGTACTGGGTGCTTGTTTCTGGGTGTATGGACTTTGTGGCTTCGCATTTCGTGTTCGTTGAAATGCAAATTAAAATATTTATGCAAATGCGTAAGGCGGGCGAACACAATAAATTTATGCCAACAAACGAGAGCAGAAGACCGAAAAGCGAAAACAAATGAAGCAAAAATAAAGTAGAAAATAGGCCCAAAAGACATGGCCAAAAAGAAAAGGAAAAACAATTACCTGTTGTCGCAGGCATTTTGCTCATATAAATGTTGGCGTCTGTCACAATAATTTCGAGGCTGTAACAATTTTGTGTCGGATCAAAATTTGAATGGGAATCCTAATGTAATGTATGCAAAACAAATCAGAGGGCTAAGTTCTGCACTCAACTAGGATTTGTGCTCGGGATTAGTGGAGCTCGAGTGGTGATCCACGAGGAGTTTTGCACGCTGATTAGGCCGGGGGCTCTCCTGCCTCCTCTGACTTTGTTCGCATCACGCATACGCCTCGTTAGCCGGGCACTTGAGAGCATTTACCAATTAGCCACGCCCCCTCTGTCGCCTCTGCCGCCTGTTTGCCCGAGCATTAACAATAGCTGCAGACTCTACACCTTTCAACACCTGAAAGAATTTAATTAATGCAGGTCCTGCTCGCTAAGGCAACCAGAGATGCTCCTCTGCGAAAGGAAAGCCTTTCGTCCCGGGCAAATTAAAAACGAAAAACGGCGAAATGAGTAAGCAACTAAAATGGAAAAGGAAAGCCAAAGGGGAAGTGAGATAGTGAGATAGTGGAGCACCAGCTGTGAATTTAAAATAGGTGTTCTTAAAGCAGAAACCTGGCAGATGAGTAGTTAATTGAAACTCTGTATATTTATTCAACTATTTTAATAACAAAAACTAATGTTCGAATAAGCTGAGCCAAAATTAAATTTGAATAAATGGCAGCCCCTCCACTTGCACCCCGAAACTCCCCCAGAAACATTGTGAGTTTTATGAACGGGAGTGCGCGGGAGTGCGAAGGTGTCTCAGAAATCCAGCAGGATCCGCTTAGCAGCAATTATCTTCATTACGCGACGCGAGCGCACAAAAGTATGCAAGGACCAAACAAGCTGAAGCCAAAGCAAAGTCCTCACAATTAGGAGACTCTCCTCTACCTCTCCTGCTCCCTCTCCGCTACCTTTCCCTCTCCCTCTACCAGGCTACAGAATAAGCAGCAGAATAAGGCGCAGTGGAGCAGTGGGAGGGGGGAGGAGAAAAGGAAAAACACCTTTAACCTTTTGCCTCGCATATAAATACGCTGTTGATGGATGTGTTTTGAGTGGCGCCCGATTCGGCGGAGGCGGGGGTCAAAGGGCGCGGGGAGTGGCTTCCTGTTTTTCGGGCTTCTTTTGACTCGACTTGTCGCCACCGCTCTTCTGTTGTGTTCAGTTACCCAGGTGGTGGTGCTGCTGCTGGTGGTGCTACTGTTGTTGGTGGTGGTGCTGGTGGTGGTGTGGGGCCTTTTCCCGGAGTGGAGGAGTGGTGTCTAAACGATTTATAAAAGCCAAGGCAGCCGAGGAGCGGGTGAACGGCACAAAAAGTGTTGCAAGCAATTTGCGCAATGGCAGCGAGCTCTGCTTTTGCTTTCGGCTCTGGCAAATCCTCGCCGGTAACCTTTCCCCCACCCATCCCCTCCCTGCCCCCCAAAAGCGAACACAAAGGCAGGTGAAAAAGCAACCAGCCACCCACATCGCACCACCCAACTCTTAACCCATGCTCGCAACATTATTGAGTGCGTGCGTGGGCCAAAAACTTGCTGCCATTTTGCACGTAACTGACATCAGCGCGCTTATAAATCAACTTGCAAATGTCTCTGTGTGTTGGGGTTTTTCTCTTTTCTCATTTTTTTTTTTTGCCCCCCGTTTTGGGGGGCCAGCATTTTTGAGTTCATGATTTTCGGCACACAGACATAGGAACTCATATGATTAGATTAATGCGTTGTCTAATGGCCTTGGATCCCCTCGCTCCCCTTCACTCCCTCATTTTCTCCGCCATTTCCCCCCATTTCACTCGACATCCACTTCACACATTCTGCGTGTCCTCGTGTGGGTTAGGTAAATCGTAATATCATTTTTATAAACATCTTGTTAACCCGGGGCCATACATTCTGCCGAGCGGAAGGCAGTCCATAACTCACGGCCGGGAAATATGATTTGCGGGTCAAGGGGTTTGCGTGAGTGATTATTTGGGGCCCGAGCTCCAAGTGGATTACGGCCAATACTCAGAGTCACTCGAAAGCTAATGCTCATCAAAAAAATATAAAGTCACTTGTGGGGCTTAAAATTCAAGCCAATCTCTATAAAGTTAAATCTCAATATGTTCACAGTGGCAAATGTGAGTTTACCATATTGCTACTCATATTATAAAAAGTAATTTAAATATTTAAAGTTTAGTTGTGAAGTTTTATTGAAATATTTATTGTATTTTCACATGTAACTTGTACAGAACTTGCAATGACTGGTAAAAGAAACCCCCTTGGGGTCGAAGGAAACAAAAAGTCGGATAATCCCTGAGGAATGGGAGTAACTCATCACGCCCTTGCGATAATCGGTTGGCAGTGTTGCACAATGATGAACAGTCGGCCGGCGGCTAAGCGCAGTGTCTGTCAAAATGTTGCCCAAATTGGCTGACTTCTGACATTTGACCTGGACACGTAACGCGCCACGCCCCCCTACCGCCCATCGCCCATCGCCCTCCGCGAGTGTCACTTTCTGTAGTTGTAGTTGTAGTTGTGCAGAACGTGTGATTTATGATGCTTTCGCTGGCGCTGTGTGGGTAAATTACTTCTTCCAACACACCAACACACGCAAAGTGTGCGAATTTTTTTTTGCTTTTGCTTTTTGGTTGGGTCGGCGGTTCTGCGAAAGAAATTCAATCGCCGGCGAAACTTTAAGCGATTTTCGCATTTAAACAATGTGGCGCGGAGGCAGCCATAACGAGTCGACTTCTCGACTCCTTGGGAAAACCACTGGGTTGACCTTCAAGGCCGACTTTTGCCACTTTCCCGGATAATATATATACTTCTGCTGGCTCGGCGCTATGCGTGGGTCATTTAAATGCTACATTATGTTGAATATTCAATTTAATGTGTCTTATAAATCATGTAGGCTCTTGCCTTCGTCCTCGTTCTCGTCTTCGTCCTCATCCTCGTCCTATTCCTTTCCCTCGTTTTGTCACACTTTCTCGGCAAAAACGGAGAGAAATGGAGGATGGTGTGGGGATAGTTTTCACTGCCCGATGGAGTCACTTATTCTGCATGATTCCCTCTCCATGGAGACCTGATTTACAAGGGAAGGGAAGGGGGGGCCCGGAATTGATTAGCCCGGGTCCGGAAAACGAACTGTCATCGTTTGGGTTTCTAGAAAAGGGTCCTGACTTTCGACCGGGCGAATTTATCATCTAATGAGCAAAGAGAGCGACAGTTTGCAAATAACTCCGATCAGCAGAAAGTTCCTTTTTAAAATTCCTTATGCAGCAGGTTTGCTTTGATATGGCAAAGGTACTAATGGTACGAATATTATTTTTATGTTACAGAAAGCAGCAATCAGTCAGTTAAAAAGAATTTAGTATTTCATAAATATCCACCTATTTTATATATTTTATCCAGCAAGTTTCTCAACCTATTAACTTGGCTTATTACCTATTTGATCAAGTAAATTGATTGATTAGTTTCATTCAATAAGAAAGCTACCCCGAAAATCTATGCAAATATTCACTTAAGTCGCAGTCATAAAACTTTCACACACCAAGCGAGAATATTTAGCTCCATGCTGGTTGATCATGTGGATTATTCTGGCGGGGTGTATCGGAAAAGCACCCCCCTTTTTTTTGTTTTCCTTTTATCTGTGTTTATCAGCCACTAAGAAAATAGTCCCCGGTTCCAGGCAAACACATGGAAAAGCCACGAAAACAAACAATTTGTGTTTACTAACCGTTCTCGGAGCACTTTGGCCCACAGCTTATTTGGTTGATTGGGTTCTGCTGCTCGCTGATTATCTCAGTTTTATCTGATTTCTACTTCTCGGTTTTTCACACTTGTGTGGACAAATTTTTCATTTCATGCGCATTTGTTGCATCCACTTGTTATTGAATTTTCATCACCATCATTATCACTGCTTGCTTGTGTGTGTGGTGCGTTGGTTGTGTGTGTGTGCGTTGTGCCGGCAAACAAAACAAAAACAAAAAAAAAACGGTGAAAACCGAAAACCGGAAAAAACACGGGAAAAGCGATCGTGAACTTTCCGGGGACTCTTTCGCTTTTCCGGACTTTTCAGAGCTTCGCGAGACACAAACAATTTTCGTCACGCGATCACAGGACACTTTTTTCGAGCCAAAGGACTCTGGTTTCTTTCTGGCTATTGGTTTCTCGCCTTTGGCTTCTTTGGTTTCTGATTTCGCGAGTTGTCGTAGTCGTGGTCGTGGTCGTGGTCGAGGTCCTTCGTCCTTCGGCTGGCTGAGTGTGGCTCAGTTGGCCAAGTCGGAGTGCCCTGTCTGTGTGCTCTGGCTTTGATTCACCAGCCGGCTGACAACAAACAGCAGCAGGGTTCAACGTGAGACTGAACGCCGCACAGCGAAGCCTCGTGCGCTGCCAGCCAGCCTCGGGAATTCCTCGTTCCTCGTCGCCGTGGTGAGTTTTCCTCCCAAAAGGTTTTCCCCGCACCGAAGAGCAAAGAGCGAGCGAATGGCGCCCGGCGAACGACCTTGGCTCGCTCTTCGCCAGCTGTTGATTTTTCTCTTTGCTCCGACTTAAATCGCTAATGGCCATTGAAGCTCCTTAATTTCCGAGGTGATGGCGAAGGGAATCCTTTACTGGCTGAAAGGGGTGATCCCAAGAAATCAGATTGACAGCGGACTTAACTGCCAAACCATTCCTTTTGACATTATTAACCATGGGCTTGAGCTTTTATTAAACTAATTTGTTAAGCTACAAATTAATATTTAAGGTTAGTGAAAAGCGCTTAGCATTATCGTACTTACAGCTGATTTAAAAATAAGTAAGTGATTTTTGAAACTACTTTATTCTATTATAAATATAGAATATACTCGTAATACTGTCTCCAAAAATCCGAATTGTTGAAATTTAAGTCCAGAAAATTTCTTAGGAGTTTTCCTATGATTCGCCAGCTCTGTTGATAAGCCACACACCCACTAACCCACACACACACACACACTAACAGTGGCAGAAGTGTAATCCCAAGTAGATCCAAATGATTAATTGTTCTGCTGGCACATCTAAAATAATTACAATTTATTCTTTAATGAGCGAATCCATCCGAGCGAAAAATGCCATCCAGCCGGGGATAAGTTTTCCTAATGAACGAACCAAGTAACGATTTAATGCGAACTTTAAGTGTATTCCGGGCATCCGGCAATTAAGATGTGTCGTAGATACTTTCTTTTCTGTATCCGCATCCGCATCCGCATCCACATCCGCATCCGTATCCGTATTCGTATCTGTTGCATCTGGGCTAAAGTTGAGACAAGAAATTATGCTAATTGGACAACACAACTTTGACAAGCTACATCTGACACTTTAACTTAAACCCCTTTACCCTTAACCCCTAACTCTTCACGCTCAGCCCAGTTTTAACCCTTGGCTGGGCCATTCGAGGTGGCAAAGTGGGCAAGTCGTGTGTTATACATCACTTGATTAGGCATTAAATAAATGCTCTGACAAGTTTACACTCAATTACATGAGTTTGCTCCCCTCCGGCGAAGTGAAGTGGAGCACAAGTCCCCTCCTCCAATTTACTGAATTGAGCGAATTTAATTGCATGCGAGCGGAATTACTCAACGAATCGTTCACATATCGATTTTCAAAGGTCAGTTTTTTGGGGGATACATCTTTAAGGTTTCCCATTGGAATTTTAAAGCTTGTCCTGAAAGTGTTCATACAAAGCATAAGCTAAGAATATAAAGAATATCAAGTATTCATATTTAAAACTAACAGTCTGAGTGCGTATTTATGTTTAAATAATTTACCTATCGTATTATCTCGTTATAAAACTAAATGAAAAGCATTGCAGTAGAGCCAGCATATTAGATTTCTCCAAAAATATTCATTATTTACAATGTTTTTCCAATTTATGCATCCACTCTGCCAAAAAAAGAGAGAGAAAACCCAACAGGTATTCGAAGCACTTGCACGGTATTATTTTTCCGCTTTCAAGTGTTTTCCTCTTTTCCGGGGCCATCTGTCGATTCACTTTGCCTATCCCGTTATAGTTTTTCCCCAGAACTTCCGCTGCTGCTGCTCGCACTGCAATTCCTTTGGTTTTGTGCTGCTTGGCTTGGCTTGCAGGCTTAATTGAGAAAGAGATTTGATTAATTTGCATGCCATAAACAATTTGCAATTTGTTTATGCTCTCAAAGTCGGGGACGCCGTAATTAAAGCAAAGCCCTGCCGAGCTAAGCAACTTTTCCAGCGATTTTCCATTTTCCTTCCCCGGCTTTCCCAGCTGCCTGGTTGATGAGGGGAGGGGGGAGTGGGTGGCGCTTGCTGGGTGGGTGGGTGTTGTGTGGAGTTGTGAAAAGAAATGTCACCGAGGCAAGGTAAGCAGATTAAGGCCTTCTTTGACTTGGCAATGCAATTCAAGTCTTTTGCCCCGGCATGCAAATGATGATGGCTCAGCTCGGCTCAGGATGCAGCCGAGGAAAAGCGAGGAAAATGCCGGGAGGCGGGGGCGGGTGGGGGATGGATCGGGAAATCGAGGAAAACGCAAACGGGGGAAACAGAGGAATGACGCAGGGGTAAGGGGGAATCCTGAATGTGTTTGCAAATATTTACTCAATGTATTCATGTGCAAACAATTACGCGTTCATTTGTGCGACTTTCGAGTGGCGAACAACAATGACGTTGTAGATGAAGAAGATGACGCTGCAGACGACTGATGGTGACAATGGCAGCCGAAATGAGGGTGCACCGCCCAGTTACCCAGGCAGTCAGCCATCCAACCACCCAAGCACCCACTAGCTACCCACCCAACCACCACCCCCTCTTTGTTTCGTTTTGCCTACTCACATATGCATAATATCCTTGACCTGTTTGCCTTGCTTGCGCTTTTGTGCGTGTCCTCCACTCTGAAGGATTCATTCACTCGGCTGGAGTGCTGCGGAAAATGGTGAAAGCGGAAGGATGGATGGATGGAAGGACGGAAGGGCGGTGGGTGGTGGTCGGTGGTCGGTGGTTGGAGAACTCCTTTTGGCCATTTGATATGCAAAAATAATCTATGCTGCTAATGGCCTGCACAAAAATATTGGTCTAACACACACACACACACAATCTTCACTCCCTTCATGGCAAAAAAAAAAAAAAACTAAAGTGGGTAAGTGCAAAATTGCGTTAATCAGTTTTACAAACTGCACAGCTTTTCCAGTTTTTCCCCCTGTCAATTGCAAAATCAGTGGCCAAGTAATTTGAATACAGATTCCATAGTGTTGATTCCGACAAGGGTTAGGTTTTTGTTGCGTTTTAATTTACAAAAAGGTTTTCATTAGTCAGTATTGATTTGCAAAAATATTAAGTGCAATATAGCACTTCTAAAATATATGGAAAATTTGTGATGGACAGGTGGAAAGCCTACTTGACATACAAACTGAGGGATTTTTCGAAGTACTCTGCTCTAAACTCGCCATTGTCCCAGCTTTTTTTTTGGACAATTTCAAGGATCTGCTTGAATGGCTTCCCAAGGACTTAAGTTCCGAATCAAAATCGGACTCATCTTTGCTCGTTTTGTGTGAATTTAACGCTCTGTTGTTGTGCGTTTGACCGAAACAATGACAGAATCCCCTCTTATTTTCTCCTCGCTTGCTCCCCAGCTTTTCCAGCTTTCCCGTTTTCCCAGCCCAAACCATAAGGTTCTCCATCTGTCTTGCCGAGTGTCTGGCTTTCGTTTGCGCTTGCATATCGAGTTTCCCCGAGCTTTTCCCGCTCACCCATCTCCCATTTCCTTTAATCGTCTGTCCAAATGTCAGTTCGTTTTGTTTGATTGATTTTTACACCCTTGGCCGGCGATTCGTTCGCTGGATTCCTAAGCGTAGGAAAATTCAATTTGGAAATGAAGAAAACTCCGTGCTGGCTCCACCTTATGGAAAATTGCTTAAACTATGGCGTTCGTTTCTGGGAAATTCAATCTAAATTGTAGCCTCTGTGCTGGCCGAAAGCCATTCTCTTTCAAAGGGGAGAGCATTTTCTTGAAGCATTTTCTTTGACTCTGCTAAATTTCCCACAATAAATTACCTAAATTCTTAAATGCATTTTTTTCTCTTTGGTTTTATAATAGTTTTTTTTACAAAAATAGTTCAACAGGCAAGACAAATTCATCTGGTTTTGTATTTTAGAAATACTGGTTTTCACATAATTTTCAATATCTCTCAGGAAAACTTCATTATTAGCTTGCCGAATGACGACTGTCTGTTGGCTTGGAGCCTTCGGGGCAGTTCGTTAACTTTACTTGATTTGCCTGGCGATAAATTTACACTCCTTCTCCTGGATTTTCCACCAGCCCCGCTCCGCATTTTCCCCGCTCTCCCCTCCCTTCCCGCTTTTCCCCGTTGTGATGTCATCGACACGCCAAGGTGAAAGACAAACAACTTTATGCCAAGTTGTTAACAAAGTGAGCCGCCGACCTCAACCGCCTAGGAGTGGGGCGGAACCACTCCCCCTTTTCCCCGGGGGCGGGTGCAAACATAAATACATTGCTGCAGAAATATGCTTACTGTCTCAGTTTTCCTCTCTATTTGCCAGAGTTTCCCCCGCCCTCGCACTCCACTTCCCTCGACAAGACAATTGACTGGAAAATGTTGTTAATGAACTTTGTGCGACATTTTGATTAGCTGTCAGGTGGAAGGGGGAAGCACCTCCACTCCCTATTTTCCACCTACTGCCCCGTCTGCTTTTCCGGCTATTTTCCTTGATTTTTACCCCCCGCCCGCCTTCTTGTTTGTGTCGTGTTGCAAACAAAGGTCAACAAGTGCCACAGATGCCAAATGATGGATGTCAAAGTTGCTTTCGGTAACACTTGACATACATTTCCCGATTTCCCGAGCTGGGGCAAAACGGAGACGGCCGAGCGATACGGAGTATTGAAGAATTGGGGAAATGGAGAAGAGGAGACTTCGGAGATTCCGATTCTGGGTTGACAATGCCGTTTTGTCACTCTGTGATAGAACAGCGAAAATAACAGTAACTGTGGGCGGAACGTGGAAAAAAAAGAAAAGTTTCTGCGCAAAAGTTGTAAACTTAATTTATAGTTTTTAAGCAGCCGCCAAAGTGGGTGGTTTTTTGGCTGGTTTTCGCAGTGAGAACAAGGGAGAACGCTTTAGACGAGTGCCTCGACTATTATATACCCATTACTCAGTTAAGCAATAAATAAACCAATAAAGCCAAAGATGAATGTCAAACGGTGGAACTGAAAACGGTTTGATTCAGTCAATCAAAATCGATCTGTTACATACTTTCAACAAATACGGTATACCCGATTACTTAGCGAGTAATGGGTATTGAAATGGGCTTGCATGTGAGTGTGCGCTGGTGTGCTTTGGTGTGGGTAAAATTTTCACATTTCATTCTCGCCTCGTCGCTAGGAATTTCCAAATGAAATATTTGACTTTTAGTCTAAAAAGTCAGCAGAAAAGTTGGCCAAACAGACTGCGACCAAGTGCCAGCATTTAAATGTGCATTAACTTTGGAGTTCAACGGGCTCGGGGAATACCGCTTCGAATGCCTTCGACCGTGGCACCGAGTATAACTTTCGAGCATCCCCGTTTATTGAGCCCTCCGTGCGAGTTACCTCCCTGCGATTTCTGTTCTGCAATTATGCTGGTCATCGATGACGAGACACCCGACTCCATAAAGCAGCAAAGAATTCACTTAATGTCAACGGGTAAGGAATATTTTGATAAGAAACTTAGCTTTTTTGAACATTTTGTAATGCAATTTGTAAGTTGCAAATTGAACTCCTGAGTAATGTTAGATAACATTAAGTTAACATTAATTTTAATTTGTAATGTTAATGTAATGTAAATGTAGTGTCAATTACATTAACAAGTCGCCACGTCATCTGCAATGATAATTAAATATATTTAAAGTTTTCTTGCATCTACAATTCCCAAGTGGTTCTGGTTGGATCTTAGTAGGATACCAGTTGATTTTGGTGAATTCCTCAGTTCTCCGGGATGACCGGTTCCGGTTTTTGGAAGTGTGTGTTTGTGAAGTGGTTCCCTCTACTGGCCTCCACTCTAGGACTTGGTATGGAGTTCATTCCAGTTGGAGGTGATGCTGATCTATTCCTGCTTTTAGTGGTCTTCAGGATGCAGTGCCTCCAAGCCCAATAAGGTGAGTACCATAGTTATCCGATTTTTATAAAATTTAATTCGAGATTCAATAGTAGTTAGAAAACACCATCTGGAAGGAAACAAGTCGATGTGATCAAGAACAATCTTTCATGTTTAGTTGTCTTTAAGGAAACTCCTTACTCAGTTTTTTCAAACATCGGAAAATAAATTTTTTAAAATTTTTTTTTTTGAAAATTTAAAATTTTCTGTTGTTTCCACACCAACGTTCACATTCACAGGCATACTCACACTCATGCATAGCTCATGTGGCCTGCAGGTACAACCTTGGAGCTCCCTCATTTAGTTGGAACAACCTTTTAGGGCAGCTGCTCACTTGACAATCCCCCTCTCCACATGTCTGTCGTCCGTTTGTCTCTTTGTTGGACCCTCGGGGGCAGGACGGCGTCTTCATCTCGGCCAGAGTTGTCCAGAAATGGTGAACCTGCTCCACATTTGACTGTAGCAAAATGGTTTGGTCTTAACAATGAAGTTTTTTGTTTTGAGAGGGTGAACTTGGCAATACTTCGTTGATAAAATTGGCTAAAATAATAGTTGAATGGGTATTAATCATTTGTTGCGGTTGCTTTAAGAAATATAGTCAGGTCATAATTTAATTTTGCCCATTCTTTAAAGGAGTTTTCCTCTTTGTTCCACCAGAAGAAAATTGGGTTCTCTGAACGACCCCAACGTCTTTCACTCCCCAAAAAAGTTTAAGTGCTGGGTGGGCAAACAGAAACAGAATAGAAACAAAAACTTTTGACAGGCGGCACGACTCGCCCTGATGGCTCCCACTCACTTGGCCGAAAGTACACGTTTCAGCCTTCGTGTTAACACGTTCTGGGTGGCAGGCGATGTGGCAAAGGATTCAGATTGAAATGGGTTGTATATCCAGTTCAGCTCGCAGTCGCACTCGTACACCCACCTTTCCATTTCGAGACGTAATTATACACTTGTAGGACGCAATTGAATGGTTATATCCATTGAATTTTCCAACTCAATAGGCTCTGGCGGTTGCCAGATATTTTTAGGGGCCTTGGGTGGGGATAAATGACTTGAGTGTTTGTCCATTGGCCGGCCAATGTCTTTCACGGCGCACATTCAAGTCCAATTTAGCCTTTATGTGTCCTCATCGTTGTCCTTGTTGCCCCACCCAAGGGATGTTTCTCGGTTTTGGAGCACGCACACGTATGGAAAGGGACAGACGGACGGACGGACAGAATAACGGACAGACAGACTTACGGGCAGAATTACGGACACGCGGACGGACAGCCGGACAGCAAAAGAGGTTTTAGTGAATGGAGGGAATGGCAGTTTGAAATCCTTGCGCCGATTTTACTGATTTTTTCCTCCTGCTTCTTTTGCCAGCTCCTCAATGAAAATGCCAACATGTGAGCAGGAAAATATGAAGATGGAGGGAGGGAGGTTGGAGGGAAAGTTCGGAGTGTTGTGTCCAGATACAAATGCATCGTAAACATGTCGTCGCGTTATATTGGGATCTCAAGTAGCCCACATCCCCAGCAGTTGCCATTGTCTACTCTCGTTCCCTTTTCCCATTTCCCATTTTTATTTGCTTTTCGTTCGTTTTTTCGCTCTCGTTTTTTTCCCATCTACCTCATTGGCTACTTAAGGGGTGGCGGGGTTGGGGGAAATTCTAGAGATTTTCTACAATTCCCCCGCCTGAGTGCCCCTGGTTGCCTGGCAACTATTGTAGTCGGATATTTAGCAGTATCTGTTGTCTGATTTCTATTTTTGAATATATGTAGTTAGTGCTGAACACCACATTCCTGTTCCCTGACTTGTAAGTCTTTTCATTTTGTATCTAAGTAAGATACAGTAACAAATTCAACAATCAAAATAGGTTACTAAATGTATAAAATAAAATTAATGATTGTATTTATTATTTTTCAACGATCCAAAGTAATACAATTTACCGATAGAATTTAAATCGCAATCACCTATTAATCCCAAGCACTTAATAATGGCCAAATTGCAGTGTCCAAATTTTTGAGCTTAACTCCTCGTTCAGATAACCCCACGACGACATGGAAAATCACTTAAAACACCCAACTTGGATCGGATCTGATTTGATCTGCGCGCTGCGACCGAACGTCCTGTCCTGTCGACTGACTGCCAGGACATAAAAACATAAAGGACAACAATTTATGGCACATTTGCAGCTTCAAGGAATCCGGTGTCTGTTCGGCACATAAAAACAGTGATGCCCCAGAAAAAGGCAGGCAAAGGGGCAATAAAGTTGGCAAAGCGGAATCAATAATGCGAGCCCGGCCGGCTGACAGAATGTGGGCCATAAACCGCTGCCAAATTCGTGCCGAGGTGTCAAAGTGTGCCACGCCCCAATCCAGATTGATTTCCACTTATTAACTCCGCCGGATGCAAAGCCAAAAACTTCAGGGACACTCGAAAGTTGCTGCGATAATTTGCATAAATATTAAAAATATGGAACAGTGACAGTTACTTCACTTATCTGTAGTCTTTTTATTTACATGCTACCATATTTGCTGACAAGCTACAGAAACGTACAATTTGTTAAAGTTTTCGATTTGAAATGGCTGTCAGGTGGCCTGCTCCCCCCTCTATGATGACCTCCAGGAAGACGGATGCCTGATCGCCGACGCCATCGCACTGCTCGTCCAGCTCGTCCTCGTTGAGGCTGACGAAGAAGGGATCCAATCCGTTGATGAACCGGCTGATGGGCATTCGGCTGGCGAAGTTCCGGATCCGGCGGCGATTCCGGCGCACGATGCACTGCAGCTGGCTGTTGAGAACGGCGAGACTCGCACCGATGGGCCGCCGGGTGAAGGGTGCCACTAGCCAGAGCAGGTAGACGGTGCCCCACTCGGAGTCGGGGTCGGGATCGGCGTGCCTGGACCTCTTGTCGCCCTTGTCCTGTTTGAGCAGGGCCTTCCAGGTGGTGCGGCAGACCATCACCAGAACGGGCAGGTGGAGCGTGAGCGCCTGGTGGCATGGGGGCAGGTCCAGCTGCGGCTCCATCAGGCCGAAGGGTGCCTCCGGGCTCCAGTTGAGTACGGCGAGGCACTGGTCCCGATCCAGGATCAGCTGGCGGTAGGCGAGCATCAGCAGGGTGCGCTGCCCACTGGTCACTTGGCGCAGGCGCAGCTGGAAGGGAAGCGTTCGGGAGCGCGGATCCAAATGCTCGCTGATCATGTGCCGCAGCAGGTGGGTGTGGCGCACCACGGCCGGGCAATTGGCCACCGGACAGATGGCAGGCTGCTTCTCCGGGAGCTCAAGGCTCTCCACCGACTCGACAGACGACGCACCTTGCTCCATTTCTCAGTTACAAAACTAGAAAACTACTCGAAAACTAACATAACAAATAATGAGGCAAAAATAAGAAACCACTTGCTTACAAGTTTTACTTGATTTTAAGATTTAAATCAGTGAAGTTTATGAATATGTAACAGTTTTTTCAATCGGTACTACAATCATCCCCAGTGGCTACTGATATGATGACAGCGGATTGTTTCGCTGCCTTATCGGTGGATTGTGCCAGAAGCCCCGGTATTTGAATGTTTTGCCATCATTAGCATTTCATCTTATTTCACTCAGGTGCGCGACCGTGCGTGCAGCATTTCCACAGACCAAACGGCAACAACGGCAACGTTGGACACTCGAATTTTCCTCGGCTTCCGAGCGAGCGGTGGTGGAAAACGGAAAGCGGGTGGGAGTGAGTTTCCCAGCTGCATTTCCACAGTCCACAGTCCGTCCGTGCGTGTCCGTCGGGCAGCAACGAGGCCATGATGATGCACAGGAAAAACTCGCCATGAAAAGGAATAAAGTAACCTAATATGTTTCAGAAATAAACTTGTTTGTTCCTACAGAAGAACTAACGTAAAAACCAAACTGAATTCATAAGTAGGATAACAAAAAATCATATGATTAAATTATATTACTTTAAGAATTTATTACCTTGTTGATTTGTACAATTTTTTTAACCTGCTGGATATATTTAAATTAATTAATGTGTTATGTAAGCCCGCGTTTCCCTTTTCAATATGTCCCGTGTGGCAAGGAGAAGATATGATCATAGCTATGACTACGACGATGAGGGGCAGCTATGCTCTCTCCCTTTCTAGCTGCCACCCTCCCCTCCGTCTCGTTCTACCTTCTCTCTTCCACTCCACCAAGCTGTTAATGGCGTATTAATGACCGGAATGCGGAATGTAACAGAAAATTTCGCCCGACTCTCGTGCACTTCTTATTCTTCTGCAGTTTGCAGTGCACTGCAGTGCAGGTTGAAAAAGGGGGATGGCCAGGGGCGGAGGATAGAGGGGGCAAAGAAGATGCACTGCAGCATCCATGGTCATGCTGCCGGAATGCATAATTGAAATACGAACCGAGCGAATGCCCCGACAAGCAGATAAGAAAACGACAGCGGCGCTCTGGCCTCCGGTTCAAATGCAGGGACGTGGAAGGGGGCCAGGGCTCCCCAGTGCCCACAAGGGGGTTCCAATGGGATGGGGAGGGGGGTAGTGTTGCTTACATAGAAGGGCATTCCACTTAGCTGATGTGCCTGACCCCAGGACCTTTAAGCTCCAGCGAAAGTGATTATCAGGGGTCATAAAGTCGCGGAGATTTCGCAGAAACAACGATAATCCAACGTATTTTATTATTATAAGTAATTAAATTTCATTAGGAAAGTGGCGATGCATTCAATAGGGGATAGCATTAAAAGAGTTCCATTCGATATCTACTTTAAATGCATTTTTAAACTATTCCTTTAAACATTTCTTGATATTTCTATTTCTTCTTGGGAATGAGTCAAAAAAAAGAAGATAAAGTAGGCAGATTATTTCACATGCGAATTGCAAAGTTTGCCAAGGCTTAACGTTATTATTATAACCCATCATTATTGCTAATGTCATTAGGTTATGTATGGTATGTGTATCCGAATGCCACTAATGACTTGCTGAGCTTCTTAATATGGTTTTTGTTCGAGAGTTTTCCCTTCACTCCAAACACTTTTCCCACCGATTGCCGATTAGTTAGCATTGAGTAGACTTCACTTCACTTCTGCCTGCCATTCGTTTGTCAGTCAGTCAGTTAGTCAGTCAGTCAGTCATTCATTCATTCAGTCAGCCAGTTGGCTCATCGACATCGCATATTACTCATACGCCACGTATGCCGCGATGGCGATCTCAACTGGCGATATGAAACCGCAACAGCTGCCATTTTGCATGTGTGTGCGTGTGCTGTGTGCTGTGTGTTGTGTGGTGTTAGTGTGAGTGTTTGTTCACTGATGTATATGTTTATATAATTCCCACTTACCGACGCTGCTACACAAGTTTATTGTTGTTTTCCCCTTTCCCATCGCCACCTTGTTGCCTGTTTCTTGGCAATGTTTGGCTTTTATGCTTAGTCTGGCACTAAAACAAAATCGGATTATATTCAGGATATTTCATATACATATTTTGTTTGAGAAAGCCATTTAATTTTATAGATCCTTGCAAATAATTATAAAAATATAAATACCTATAATCAAAGTATTTCTTTGCTTTGACCTCAAGAGTAGCTCTGATTTTTCTCTGTGCATTCTTGGGTGCTTTCTGTGGGTGGTTAGGTGCCAATGGCTGCTGCCCCGAGAACGGGGCAAACAAAACCCAAAATGCTGGCAAAATGAAAATTATGCTCTCTTTGGCATTAAGTTTATGAATAACGAGCATATGTAAGTCGGACTCGTAGTCTCCGAGCTTCTTGTTGTGTGTTGTGTGTGTGCGAGTGTGGTTGTGAGGGTGTGCGTGTATGTGGGTGTGTGTGCCAGTGTGGGTGTGCCCTTCAGTGAAGCTTACGGGAATTTATTTTGCGCCATAACTACACAAACACTCGCACTCACAATCACACTCACACTCACACTCGTATTCACACTCACACTCACACCTCCACTCACACCATGAGACTCCCGCAGGTCGTTTGCTGTCTGCCGATCAAAAGGTGTTAAATTCTGTTGTTACTAAGCGCACAAAGCACCACAAAGACATGCACCACCAGCCGAAGCGCCAGTGGGTGGTGGGTGGTGGGTGGTAAGTGGTGCTGTTGGTGGTATTGGTGGAGCTGTTTGCATAAATAAACGGGCACATTAATTCGCGATTGTTCAGCATGCTCTGCACTCTCGCAGATTTGTTCAAGTCCTTCAAGGTGATTAATTGCCCAAAACCAATTTAAGTCTAAGCATTCACTTTTAAGTGGGTAAAGAATTAAACAAAGAATTATAAAATTAAAACGTACGATTTCCATGTCTTTTTTTTAAGTTGTTAAAAATAATCTCACAAAGTAAACATAACTCATTTCATTTATTAAATTACTTTAATTTTTTTTCTTCTTTTAAACTGATTTTTTGTCAATACATACCCCCAAGCTAATAGGTTTATTATACCCTTGCAGAGCAAAGGGTATTATAATTTCAGTCAGAAGTTTGCAACGCGGTGAAGGAGACACCTCAGACCCCATAAAGTATATAACTATATTCTTGATCAGCATTACGATCTGATTCCAAATTCGTCTGTACGTCTGTCCTACGCAAACTAGTCTCCCAGTTTAAAAGCTATCTTGCTGAAACTTTCCTAAAAGTTGTATTGTTGTTGATTTTTGAATATAGAGTTTTCTAACGACTTGAATTACGAATTGAATTTCATGAAAATCGGACGACTATATCATATAGCTACTATATAAACAATAGTCGGAAATATGAAAAATTAATAGAAAAAACAAAGCTTCGATGCTGTTTAGCCTTTATGTATTTTGTTCGACTGCAAGGTTATATAAGCTTCGGCTTGCCGAAGCTAGCTTCCTTTCTTGTTTTTATGTTTTTCCTGCTGACATTTTTTTTAGTCCATGAAGGCTTTTTAGCTGGCGGAGTGCAGGAGAAAAGTCTGATAACATTTGGCTGGGATTAACAACCAGTTTCTTCTCCAAAATCCAGCACCTTTCAATTTCTCGCAACCTTTTGTATTTACAAAAGCATTTATCCCTTGCTGTTGGCTCTTTTAGGTATTTTGCTTTAATTTTGGAGCTGCAGCTGTCGTCTTGCAATTTTTTGACTCAATATTTCAGTTGCCTGGCAGCTTTATTTTAAATAAATAAACTCAGCTTTGGTGTGGGTGTGTGGCTGTCTCTGTGTGTGTTTTTTGTGTGTTGGGTGCCTCAAGTTACAAATAAAACGCAACCGAAATGAGCTTAAGAGCTTATGGAACGCTAAACAAACAGCGCAGCACACAAAGCCGCGATGCCACACTCACACACACACACACACACACACAGAGCGGCGCAAGAACACTCACACTCACACACACACACTTACACTTCAGTGGCTTACAGCTGACTGACTTGGGGTGCCAGATCCTTAGTCTTTAGTCCTTGCTTTCGGGCACACGGAAAAATATTAGCAATAAAAACCCTTATTTTTCTCCACTCAAAAGGTTGAAAATTGGCTCAAGGCCGTCGGACATTAATATAGTTGACAGTTTTATGGGCACAATGCTAAAACAAATCAATCTGCACTAAAAATATCAAAAACTGCGAGAAATAAAAATATTTCCGATAAAAATACCTCTCGAATTAACTTAAGATTATCTAAATAATCACAATCCACAAACAAATCATCCTGTATTTAAATTGTTTACAAATTGAAATCCAGAATTTGTTCATAAATTACTAGCCCAAAAAATTAGAATTAAGTAAGTTTCTTTTTGTTAAATGCATGATGATCAAATTCTAAAAAAAACCATTTGGATATTTCTTTAAGTGCAGCTTCGACTTGGCTTGGCTAGCTTGAAAGCGAATCGCTTTTGCCTTTTATGACTAAGTCAAATATGAAAGTAAGTTGCCAACAGCTCGCTGACTGACTGCCACGCCCCCTCGCCCGCACGCCGTTGGCCGCCCCCTTTTTTGGAGGCGCTTTCGAGCAAAGGCAGCTTCCCAGAGGGCAGAGAACAGGACAATTTGATTTATTGCCACTTAAAAGGCAACATTCAGTTTTCTTTCTCTTTCTCTTTCCCTTTTCTTTCTTTCTTTTTTTGTTGCTGCTGCTGCTGCTTTGGCTTTTCTTGGTTTGGGGGCAGGGGAAAATAAATAACACGTTTACACATCCAAATGAAGCAGCCGCAATGGGCGGGCGGGAGCATCCCCGAAAAAGGGGGTTAAAAGGGGGCGGGGAGTTCCAAAGTTGTTGAGAGTCAGAATGGCGACGAGATTGTTAATAAGAATGCATATATTATGCCAGCGCCGACACGTCACATGTGCGCCGAAAGTCGGGGGTGGGGGATAAAAAACCCCTACCCCTCCCACCATCCCTAAACAGAGCTCCTTTCGAAGGACTTGCTATGCGCATAATTAATCGCTCGACCTCCTGAAGCTGACGTCGCCCTTCATTTTTTGGCCCCACTCAAATGAGG